AGTGGGTAATCTGCTGAACCCTTTTCAAACGATTGAGCAGATTTTAAAATTCATGATGAAGAAAAATCTATTTATCGAGTCCTTTTTAAAATGAAATTTTATTGCTCATTTAGGTGAAATCTACCTAATTCTTTCCAAATAATTGAGTGAATTTTTTTTATGTACTCTTTTAAAAACACAAATATGCACAACATATCACTTTTTTTTCTTCTTCATCTGTTTGTGTGATTTTTTTAAGAGTTAATCACCTATACACTGTCAATATATTTTTTTTTATACTAGCAGTCAATCAAAGCCGTTAATAATGTCTTTTTTATTTTAATTTAATTAAATAAGCAGATGAAAAAACACTATTAATGATTTTAATTAACTGTCAGTAAAAAAAACTTTACACAGATATTGTATAATGATTAACTCTTTATTAATATGTATCAAGATATATATATTTACAACTACACATATCAGGCCTTTTCAAATTCCCTTAAACTTATATTTATTTACCCCTCCGAGTAGCTCATAATGGTTTATTAGAGCAAGGTGGACTAAAACTTAAAACCCACTTTGGCTGGTGAAAGACGAAAAACAAAATAAAAAGGAAGTCTTGTAAGCAAGTAAGGAAGCCTTTATCTGTGTTGAGTTGCGAGCATTCCTTTTCTCAAACCTTTCTCTCTCGCTCGCTCTCTGCTTCAATCAAATCACATGGACATTGATTTCAAAGAATATCAATTGCGCTGTGAGCTTCGCGGCCACGAAGACGATGTAAGATTTCTCTCTCAATTCCTTATACCTTTTCCCAAACTAACATTCTGATTTTAATTCCAATACACATTGATTGGTTGGTCATGGTCACAGGTTCGCGGAATATGCGTGTGTGGCAGCGAGGGCATTGCAACCTCCTCCAGGGACCGAACGGTTAGGTTCTGGTCTCTGGATGACCGCAAGTTCGTGAGTTCCAAGGTTCTGTTGGGGCACACGAGCTTTGTGGGACCCTTGGCATGGATTTCCCCCAATTCGGAGTTCCCGAAAGGTGGGGTTGTGTCTGGCGGCATGGACACTCTGGTCTTTGTCTGGGACTTGAACACCGGCGAGAAGGTCCACTCTCTCAAGGGCCATCAGTTACAGGTCACTGGCATTGCAATTGATGATGCTGATGTTGTGTCTTCTTCCGTTGATTGGTAGGGTTTTCATTTTTATTTCGACATCACCACTTTAGTTGCTAAATATATATTTAGTATTAATATTATCGCTTTAATCACATATTTTATTTTGAGTTTTTGACTAATGTGACTTTAATTTGTACTTATAGAAACTTATTTGTGAATTTCTTAGTCTCAGGAAATGACATGACAGCACCTTACAAATTTAAGGACCAAACTGGATGTTTACTCCCAATTCTTTTGACTCCGAACCTCTTTTAGTTTACTTGGATTCATTCTTTTGATAATGTTTTTGGGTTTCTCATAACACTAGTTATAGCCATTTTGATCCAATTTTTTCTCACTTTACTATTGTGGTTGATACACTGCTGGCTACTCACTCACATATTGTGTGTGTATTAAAATTGTTATGTGGATTTCTTTATCTTTATTTACTACTTTAATTTCTTATATAGTACCCTAAGACGGTGGAGGAATGGGCAATCTGTAGAGACGTGGGAGGCTCATAAGGCACCAGTCCAAGCAGTTATCAAGCTGCCCACGGGGGAGCTTGTTACTGGTAGGTATTTAGCTACTTGTTAATGCATTTTTGTAAACAAATTTTGTTATGTTTCTAAATAGTTTGTAGTCATGTTGCTAAAGAAGAATTTATACTTGGGGTTTTGCCTATGCGAGTGGGATCTTATCTTGTTAGCTATAAAGGCTTCTGTTTTGGGGAATGATATTGAGATTGTATTGGAATGAAGTTTGTTTGCTTATTTTCTGACAATTTTAGGTTCAAGTGACACTACGTTAAAGCTTTGGAGAGGAAAAACTTGTTTGCACACCTTTGAAGGACATTCAGGTTTGCTTTACTGTCTTTAGACATGTATGGTGCATTTGAATCTTTTATTTTGTCAGATTTTTTTTTTTTGTATGCATGTTAATGTTGTATTTTGTAAATTTTCCTCACACATTTATTTTGAGTGGTGAGGAATTGTGTAATTTGATGTTGAAGTCCAATATATTGCTTGACATATTTGTGGATTGATTTTATTTTTCGAAATATCATTTCATCAAATTGGATGTTCTGTGCCAACTTGAGTCACGTTTTCCAATTTAAAGAAGGCCAAAGAGGTTGTAGCAATTCTGTTACCTTGGGAACATGTTTTAGCAGTCATATTATATCCTTTTTATGTTGTTTATGGGCTACATTTTTTTTCCTCTGTTGCTATTAATATTGCTGCAAATGCTGATAACCTGAGGTGTGTACAGATACAGTTCGAGGCTTGTCTGTGATGTCTGGTCTTGGAATCCTATCTGCATCCCATGATGGGTGGGTTCATTTATGCACATAATCCTTTAGATCTAGTTAATATTGAATCCCTGATTGTGCTTCAGAAAATATATATACAATTCTTGACTTGCTCCTGTTGCTACAGTTCTCTCAGATTGTGGGCAGTTAGTGGTGAAGTGTTAATCGAGATGGTTGGTCATACGGCTATTGTTTATTCAGTTGATTCACATGCATCAGGACTTATTGTCAGTGGTAGCGAAGACCGTTTTGCCAAAATTTGGAAAGGTAATTACCTCTTTCTAGCTTCCTGTGATAGAGATCATGTGTCATTGGAATATTATCAGCAGATGTCACTTTAGTGACAATAATCAAAACTTATGAGTTTCATGGCTCTGATTCACTTTTTGAGTGTGCTAAGTGAGCTACAAAATTAATGTTGGCATTCAGTCCTCAGAAAGTTTAGGGGGGGGGGGGGGGTTTGGGGGGAGGGAGTTCCTTATGTTAGCCAACAATTTTAGGAAAGTGCTTGATATTCTGTTATCTTTGGTTAGCTGCAACTTTTACAATTCGCAGATTTAGCTTTGGTGTTTTGGTTTATGTCAATATCCCCCATTTTTTGCAATTTTTTATTATTATAAATAAGTCTTTTATTTAAAAGAGTATAAGTGATTTTTTGGAGTGTCACATGAAGAGACCTTTCTCTTCCATTTTCACCGTTTAGGTTGCCATCTATATGAAGCTTCCAATGTTGTAAGCTGCTCAAAGGCATTGGCTTTACTTCACATGGTCTATTATTGATTTGGTGTTTTTTGGCTCAACTTACTTAACTTTGGTTTGGAATTACATATTTTTTTCTCTTAAAACTTTTTCAGATGGAGTTTGTGTTCAGAGCATAGAGCATCCTGGTTGCGTTTGGGATGCAAAATTTATGGAAAATGGGGATATTGTGACAGCATGTTCAGATGGAGTTGTACGCATTTGGACCGTAGATAAGGATAATGTTGCTGACCAAGTAGAGCTTGATTTATACACATCACAACTTTCTGAATACAAATCTAGCAGGTATGTTTTGCTTTTTTGGCTGTCATAATGTGCTTGCTACTCCCTTGTGACATCATTTTTTCCTTTTCATGTCTGTCCATATTATAAATTTCTCAACCAAGATTTTCACTCTGAAAATGAAAACATATGGTTCATTTATCTTTGGTGAATAAATGATTTCTTTTCTCGAGAACATTTTCCTTGTAAATCCAAATATATTCATGTTTTTTAATTTTATTTTAAATTTTTTAATATATAGATTATGTTGTGCTTAGATTGGTTATTTCTTGCTAATATTGGTGAACTTAGCTTGATCTGTTCTTTTTTGCTAGAAAGAGGGTTGGAGGATTGAAGTTGGAAGAGCTACCAGGCTTGGAGGCACTGAAGATTCCAGGTCTGAGTTTTTAACTGTTGCTCTTTTGGAAAGTCATTTGGCATAAGCTTTGCCCCCTACACCTGCCATTTGCTTCTTCTTTTGGAGGGTTGGGGGTAGGGAGACAGATGTAAATTGGTAGTGCTGACAGCTGGAGATTGCCCACTTTTGCAAATCAGATGCTATATTCAGTTTTGAATGTCTTTTCAGATAGGATAGGCTAGATTGATTGCATGAAACTATTGCATTAAATAGTTTTAACTTGTAAATATTCAACAGTTCTGCAGTTCCTCAGTTTTGACATTTAAGTAATACCTGATGACAATCTGTACTCGTGGCTACAAATTTACACTGATTCCTCCCCCCGCCCCCTTTTGAATCGCATTATTAATTTCTTGCACAATCCAGCATCCAGTGTTTGTCATGGTTTCTGTTTTAACCATCTTCTGGTTCTGAACAGGAACTACCGATGGCCAGACAAAAGTAGTTAGAGAGGGTGATAATGGGGTGGCATATGGGTGGAACATGAAAGAACAGAAGTGGGATAAAGTAATTCCTTTACTTTGTTCTACCCAAACTTTTTGTGTCTACTTTTTCTATAAGTTAAATTCCAAGTCGCAGTGCCAAATGTAGATGATATTACAATTTTTTTTTTTATTTATTAACAATTTTTGTGTATTTATAGATTGGTGAAGTTGTTGATGGACCAGAGGAGTCAAATTCAAATCGCCAATTTTTTGATGGTATTCAGTATGATTATGGTCAGTTTCCTTTGTTTCCCTCAAAAACTTGATTAGGTTTTCCATCTTCACATTCATTTCTTATAAGTTTTATCTGTGTCTGTTCAGTGTTTGATGTGGATATTGAAGATGGAATGCCTACCCGTAAGTTGCCATACAATCGAACAGGTACACATTTTTACCATCAGGCTGCAAGTTTATTGTCTGTTTGTTCTATAAATGTTTTGATGTAGTGAATTCATCTGGCTTATTAGAGTCAGTAAAAACATAATATTAATTATTATTTCACTAGTTTCTTAGATGTATTGTATAATTTTATTATTAGAAATTAGAGTAATAGATGGATTTATTCATATTCCAGTAGATAATAAGGATACTATAACATGAACTACTAGGCCAACTCAACAAACACTGGTATGGTAGATTGCATCAGTTTCCAGGAGGCAAATTGCATGTGCGCACCTGTGTTTGCTTGGTCAATGTACTAAGAAAGAGGGAGTAGTTTTTTTTCCATATCCTGTATAGAAAATGAGGTCTGGAATAGTTAAGTACCACTCAAATTTTGTTTACCATGCATTTGATTTTTTGCTTATTCTTTAAAATTCTGAAGTCCCAGTACATTCTACGTTGTGCCATAGTGGAGAGAGATTTTCGAAGAAGAGATTGTATCAAGCTTTTCAAAATTTTCTTGTACCTTATTTGTTTGCTACGTGAAGATACCATCCTCTCTTATGAGTGGTTTAATTGTTAGCGCTTAGGAAGATGAATGAGATTTCTAAGACTTCTACAGTTTTACTTGATGTTCTTAACCATCAAGTATTATCACTTACTTTATTGTTCATTTTCTGCTTTAAGTCTTCTTGTCACCCGCAATTGTTTGTCTTGTATGACCATGGTAGATGCTGAGAATCAAACCTTATCCTAGTTTATGCATGTGAATGATAATCTGCTAACTAATAAAGAAAACTGTAACATGTCTCCAGATAATCCATATGATGTTGCTGATAAATGGCTACTCAAGGAGAATCTTCCTCTTTCTTTTCGTGAGCAAATTGTACAGTTCATTCTTCAAAATACTGGACAAAACAATATTACTTTTGATTCTTCATTTCGTGACCCCTACACTGGCTGTAAGTATAATGTCTGTTAATAAAAAATTTATGGTGATCAATAAAACCCGTTATCCTTGTGGTCCTCCTTTTTTACTTGATTATTTTTCTATTGCAGCCCATGCTTACGTACCAGGACAACCTTCTCGTACATCTGGTAATAAAAAACTCGCGTCTTCTTGTTCTTCATGAGTTCTATCATGATCATGTTGTATGAATATGTGCTTGTGTGACTCAGTCCCAATTAAATTTGTTGAATTTTTTAATGACAGATGTTTCTGCGAAACCTACTCTCAAGCATATTCCTAAGGTGTGCTTTTATACACTTTGTTTTGGATGTTGCTAACATCTGGTCTTGGTGAAATACATTTTAACCTGGGAGTTCTCAAGTCTAGAGAATGTAGATGATCTTTTTTGTCTTTTACATTGTAGTTGTATGCTTTTTCCCTTTTTTATTCAAATAAAAAATGCATTGTTATTTGGTAACTTGGGTTACATCTGGGTAGTTAAACACAGGCTATGTAGGGATGTCCTTAGTCCTATCATGATATATATTAAATATAAGGACTCCTTGATTCAGTACATGGCCAATGTGGCTCTAGATGGAGCTCAATAGGAAGAAAGAACTGTGTTAAATGTTACTTGGAGTTGGTGATTCCCTTGTTTATTTGAGCTGCAAATGGGTTTTCTCTTCAGGAAATTGCTTGACGATTAACTGTATCAACTTTTGCTTGCTTTGAAATTCGACTTTTAATGTTATTTCTATTATTACCACTACTATACTACTATAAGAAGCCAGTCAGATGGACCAGTATATCATTTTTATAGAATGTTGCTCAATGTACAAGTAATTTTATCCCACTCGGAAATGGTTAATGCTAAAAGTAATGTAATGAATTTTACAAGACTAAGTCCAATGTTAAACCTCCTTGTTGTGGAATTTCATACTTTTTCACTCTTCAAGTTAATCATGCAATTTGATAGCTCATGCCCATTTCTTCTGTTGTCAGAAAGGGATGCTTGTTTTTGATGCAGCTCAGTTTGATGGGATTCTTAAAAAGATTACCGAGTTCAATAAAGCTTTACAATCTGACCAGGTAGACTACATGGTTGAGTTTTTTTTTCTTCTGTAGTTATTAATTTGTAACACACTAGTTTTATGCCTGAGCAATGTACGGACTCTAAGATTAAATATCAAATGATAGTATGATCACAACTAAAGAAGAATTTTGTGTAAATAAGATAGACATTAGTGGGAATAGAAGTTCACTATTTTTATGTAAATATTAAAATTTTATAGTATATATATCATAATTAAGAAATTTCATAATTGAAATTAGATTTATATTTAATGATATATTATATAATTTATTCTACTTTATTTATTTGGAAATGCTTTCTTCCACAATTTAAGGATAAATGCAAATTTTTTATCTCATGATATAATTATTAAGCATAATAAAACTACAAATTTAAAGATAATAAATAATAGTGTTAAATGAGCTCTCAATTTTGTTGTAAATTTTTTTTAATTACTGAGCCAAATGTTCAGTTGACAATCTAATAATGTCCTAATTTATTCGAGATAAAATTTGAATTATTGTCTATTGCAACATATCAATAGTATTTATGTCTGCTTTTTTATTTTTTAGATAAGTCATTGAAGTTGAGGTAGATGCATGAGGACTTGGGTTTGGTTCTCATTGCCACTGTAATTTTTTGTACATATAAAAAAAAATTCTTAATATACATTGATGTGTATTTTAGTTTTATTTTGGCAATTTATTTTCTGAATATGTACATATTTGTATTTTTATTTTGTGTCTGTAGTATTTATTGTAATTTTTCTGCTGCAATAATAATGCAGTTGGTGGTTGGGAAAAGTGCCATAAAATGACAACAGCACAACACCAATTTAATGAATGTTACTATAATAAATAGATGCATATTTATTTTTTCAAATATTATGATTATACTATTAATGAAGATTTTTTTAGAAGGTGGTAGATTGTTTTTTATTATTCCCTATCTATAAATTTTATAACATCAATTATTCGACATCACTTTCTATCATATTGTTTGCCTTTATTTTATCACATTCTGGACAAATAATTAACATCTGCTAAATTCATATTCTTTTAGCAAATGGAACCTTAATTTATGGTGATGAACTCACTTGCAATGGTCAGGATTGGGGATTTTTTATTTATTTATTTATTTATTTATATATTTTATATATATACTTTATCCATGATCATTTCAAACACCAATATACTTGTTGACAGCTCTAACTTCTCATTGGTTAAGGTTGAGTTGGTTAACTAAACTTCAAAATGCCTTTTTGATTTCAGACTGGAGATCTACATGTTGTGATGCCCTTTAATATAATAGACTTCACTTACTACCACCCCTAAGGAAAAACCCTGCATGAGCGAACCATGTTGCCAAGATTTTCTCTGCATAATAATTAATAAGAAAAATTCTGCAATTTTTAGCAAGCATTCTTCATTGTTCAGTGCCATTACTTTTCTTAGTAATTTGGTTCTATTGTCAATCTCATGTAGGAAAAGCAGAACTTGTCTTTGACTGAGCTTAATGTTTCCAGACTGGGTGCCATTGTTAAAATTCTGAAAGATACTTCACATTATCATTCTAGTAAATTTGCAGACTCTGATATAGCCTTGTTAATAAATCTGCTTCAATCATGGCCAAATGCAATGATATTTCCTGGTTAGTTATTGTCTCTTGCATTAATCCTTTTTATTGTACTTCAAGAAATTTTCATTGTTGATTTGACAAAACCAACAGAATAAATTTGTTTTATTTTATGCTCACTTCTTAATCAGTGAAGTTCTCCATTCTTTAGAAAATGGTTTTCCTTACTTCTATACATTGTGCTTTCTCTATGCAGTCATTGATATTGTAAGGATGCTAGTTCTTCATCCAGATGGGGCTATTTTACTTCAGAAGCATTTTGAAGCAGAAAATGGTATCAACATTGCCATCATTTTGTTTTCTGACATTACGTTATGACAATAATCAATCTAATCCCATCTTTTAGATGTGAAATTCATATGAACATTGGGAAAAGTGAGACCACACTAGAATCCCTTGCTTCTAGTGTGGGACTCAAGTTCCATACCTGATACCTTGCAATTGTATGTTAACATATCATAATGCTTCCACCGTGTCAGTGGCCCGCATGGGCTGTCTCTGCACTAACTCTTTGACTAGTCTCGACCAAACATTGTAATGCCAGTGTCACCACCCCATGCCCTCGTTTGCAGTTGAGATTGAGAGACATAGTGAAAGGATTTTATATCAATTGATAGATTCCCTTCAGCAGTCACCTTATCTCATCCCACTGCATCTGGCTGTTGTTCCTCCATTTTGTTCAAACTCTTTTCCAAGCTTTTCCACCTGTGACTCCATTGTAGCTCACATGGTGACCATCCAAAGCTCCCTGAATTGGGAGATATGATACCAGATGATAGGTACCAAGATATAATAGGAAGGGAAGATAGAAATTCTTTGAGTTCATTATTACTGAAGTCGGTCCCATATTTAGACGATAAAGTTCCCAAATATAGAAGATCGAAGATGAAAGAAAATGCAACACAGAAAATATTGTAGATTTGTAGGTAACTAGATAATGCTATAGAATGCTTATTTTTTCCCCAAAGTCCTAAATTCCAGTTTGCTCTCGTAGCACTCCACTAACAGATCATGTACAGCATTCTCTTACATTTCCTAACTTCCACATCTGTAGTTAGTTACATTTTGTATCTCTTAGTTATGTTCCTTTATAATGCGCCCCTTTCTACCTGTTGTCACATACACTAATGATCCTTGGGTTTCTAACAGAAATATGCATGATTACTTATACTCCTTTAGTTTTGGAGCTTATTTTTCTTCCTAGACCTTTCTGTTGATGTGTAATCTTTCATTAATTTTCTCCCATGTTATATCCAGACATACTTATGGAAGTGATTAAGAAAGTCACTGTAAATCCAACAATTCCTGCGAATCTGTTGACCAGCATTCGTGCTGTAACTAATCTCTTCAGGAATTCGTGCTACTCCAACTGGTTACAGAAACATCGTAGTGAGGTTAGCATCACTTTATTGCAAATTTTTTAATTGGTATTTTTTGAAGGGCTTGAAGAATTGCTACATTAATGTAGCGACTTTCTTATGTAACATTGTTATTAAGAAAAAAGGTCATAAATGCACACCTTTTATGATTAATATAGAGCTTTTCATTGGTTCTCTGCTTTCAAGTATTAGTATTCATTAATTTCAAGATATGCATTGACTTTCTCCATGCCGTTAAATATTTTTTCACAATTTGACGCTCTTTGCATCACTGACAGTTATCAATTCATTAATTCACTGACATAGGCCGTTTTATATATTTGTTTTGTTTCTAAAAAAATCATTTCTGAAGGATTACATGAGTTTGTCCATCTTTTTTCTGTTATTCGGCCAGATTCTTGATGCTTTCTCAAGTTGTAGTTCATCGTCAAACAAAAATTTGCAGTTATCATACTCTACCTTGTTACTAAAGTAAGTCCTTTTTTTGGTACACATATTATAGTCTTTTCTTGACTGTAAGTTACTGCACATTGTTTGGAAAAAAATTACTTGATTAATTATTGATATGTGGCTTATGTAATTTTCACTAGTAGTTCTTGCATTTATATTTACTTCTAAATAATTTGTTTCTTTAGCTTTTGGAAGTTGTCTCTCTCTTTTGGTTGTGGTAATTCCAAATAGAAGATACAGTCTCCTTGTTCAGGTGCAGAAGTGCTCCAGTGCTTTCTGGTTTTTTAGTACTCCCCTTCCCCACCCCAGAAAAAAAAAAGACTAAATGAGTTCCATTTTGTTCTTGGATGAAAAAGTGAAAGAAGGAGGAAATTCTAATATCATCTGGTTTCTTCTGTTCTTGGTGTTTCACTCCTTAAGTTCATCACCCTGCTGCAGAAGCAGAAGTAGAGACACTGAAAGTCTGAAATGGTGGTGGTGGTTTTACTTAGATCTCAGCTCACAAGTCATTATGTTCATTGAGTGGTTTGCTTTTAGAAGTGCAATATTAAGGCCCCTGAATGTAAATAGGCAATAACCTTTACTTGTGTGATCCTCGCAGTTATGCTGTGCTATTGATTGAATCAAAGGATCAAGAAGGTCAATCTCAAGTTCTATCAGCAGCTCTTGAGGTATGTCTTACACTGTTTTTACCTAGCTATGACAACAGCCATGGTACCACCAAAACTCACCCTACTAGGTGATGTGATTCGATCAATTCTAATATTATTGGTCTCTATCAGAAAACAAAATTTCAAAAATCATTCAGAGGACAAGGTCTTTATAAGTTGTTCCTCCTTTTTCTTCGGTGTTCCTTCTACCCCTTTTAATTAGTTTATCTTCTATTTGATCGCCTCCCCCACCTTTCACTGTTGCCTTTATTGTTCCCCTCACATGATCAAACTACCGTAGGAGAATGTCTCCTCCTCAATAGATGCTAGTGCTACTCCAACTTTCTCCCAAACATTCTTTTTGAATCTTGTATGTCCCCTTCCCCAACTTTGTCAATGTTTTCATCTTTATACACTTGTTGAACTATAACTAGCATAAGAACATTGTTGACCTTATAATTGTCTCATAGAATTTTCCTTTGAGATTTGAGCGACACATTGCAACTACAATTACAAATTACACCTAAAACATTTGTTCATGTCATACAACGAGCTTGAATCCCATGCGCGACATCCCCATCAATATAATATTTAAACTGTTAATTTTCACCCCTAAACGATGCTAATTTTTTTTCATACAAAAGCCATGTTTCATGTAAACAAAAAAACTCCAAATCCAAAACTTTTCCACACTTAAAAGAGCAAGGCAGGGTGCATTTGTACGTGTCTATATTATTTAAAATCAAGTTTCATACTTGTAGATCTTATTATTTCTAGACTATAACACTACTGGTATCTATTTTTCTGTGTAGATTGCAGAGGATGAAAATGTAGAAGTTGATTCCAAATTTCGTGCTTTAGTTGCTGTTGGATCATTGGTATTTTTAAGTTTCTATCTCTTGTTTTATGTTTGATGCCTAAATTCTTGTGTCTCTATACAAGTCAAGGTGTTCTCCATGAACTTCATTTCGCTACACAGTTTTGCATGTTGATGTTTGTAACAATTTGCTTTTGTGAAGCCTGATTATCCAATTCTTTATCATCACCCTTGTCTACTATTACTCATCTTGTATTTGATACATAAATTATATTTTATTCCTGATTATCCAATTCTTTATCATCACCCTTGTCTACTGTTACTCATCTTGTATTTGATACATAAATTATATTTTATTTTTGTGTGAACTATGGAAGTCAAGCTGATTTTTTTTTTGGGGGTAGTGGGATAAGGCTTTTATTGTTGCTATTGTAAGACTATGGGAGTCGAGCTGGTCTTCGTTTGTGTCTCAACATATATGATTTGTGACTATGATTTTTGCTTATTCATTGCAATCTACTTCTGTGAAGCCTGATTTTGCAATCCATTTATCATCCTAATCTACTCTTGCTGCTATTCAACCTATTTGAAAGATGTTTGGTTATCGGTTTGAGTTTCATATCCTGGTTAGTGGAACACCTTTGTCTTGGTACACAGGATTTACTTGAATAAAAAATGACATTCTGTTATATACCAAGTTGCTAGAATCAAGTAACACTGTTTACTTGGAAAGCATTAAAAAAAAATTAAATCAAATTACATCCTTTTTTTGTGTATAAATATTGATATATGCAGACTATCCATCAATATGGGAGAACCAATAATGAAGATTATTCCACAGAATGTGACATCAGACAAATTTTCTCTTTTGTTTGATAGTAGATTCACTTGCTTGGAAGCTTGTCGTGCTTCACTCACATTTTTCATTTGTCTAATCCTCTTCAAACAGATGCTTGAGGGACTTGTCAAAGAAATAGCTCTGGATTTTGATGTTTTGAACATTGCAAAAGCAGCTAAGAGTTCTAAGGATACCAAGATTGCTGAAGTCGGATCTGATATTGAGCTGTTATCAAAGCAGAAGTGAATACCTTTAGGGTGATTAATCTCTTCTGTTCCTCCAAATAAAATGAAGGTAAACGAGGGATGATCACGCTCATGTTACTGACCCATTATCAGACAGATGCACACAGGGTTCCTTTTTTATTGTACTTGGCATTGTATCTTTGGGGGAAAGGCTCAAAGCATCTTGTGCAGTGCAGAGTTCTTTGGAAATGGAAATTATGTAGTGTCCAGTATTTTCAGATCCCTTTCCAAATTCTGTCGCATAAATATTGAATTTTCAGTTTTATTCAAAATTCAATTTGGCACAATTATATATTATATACATTGTATAATTTTCATTATCTACGCCCCACCATTCTTTTACTACTATGACTATACAAGGGGTGGCGGTTACATACTTTACATTAAAGGTACAAGAACTTGGTAGGGAAATGTGAAGGTAATTTGGTTTTGAATGAAACATCTATCATCCACATCAAATTGGGCGGGGTCAATTGAACTATTAGTATAATATTTTATTCTTAGTAACAGTTTCATATCAAACCAAATTCACAACCGTAATTAAATCCTCAAACTGCCTCGGTATTGCTGCTAAGGGGTTTCACTGTTTGAACACATTATAGTGCTAGGTATTGGTTGTTATATACACTGTTAAATTTCATATTTTGTATTCGCAGGATTATTTTGTACTAAAAGGATGTCAGCAACCAAGATCATTGTTCAGAGCCTAAACAGCAAATTTAAACCGATCCCGTCTCCGATACTCGCTGGGGGTAAAATCTGAGTACCCATCTTCACTCCTGGCGGGGTTTGGGTTTCCCCGCCCCCACCCTTGCTCCTATTTTTTTTTAAATAAATATGAACATATTTAAAAAGATAAAAAAAAAAGTAAAATAGTTTAAATTTTTACATATAAGTATTTTTATTTTTGGTTTACATATATACATAAATAATTTTTTAATTATATTATTAAGCAGGGCCGGTACGGGAGAGGGCGGGTATTAACATCTCCGTCTCCGCCCCTGATTTTATCAATCGGGAAAAACATGAACTCGATAAACATAGATTTTTCTTATCTAAATTGGGGCGGGTACTCACCGGAGCGGGTTAGATTATCATGCCTATTCAGAGCATTAAATTGCTGATGGTTGTGCGTTTGTCTTCAATTTCAAAACATGTTAAATGGATTCACTGACGAGGATACGTTATGAGTGACAACAAAAGTAATCTAACAATTACAAATTTCCACCATCCCCACCCCCTTACTTTGAGACAATTATAAGCTCAATAGATAGATGCGTTGGAAACCCTTGAAATGTCAACGGACACTTCATTACTTTGTGTAAGTCAATGGAGCAATTGCAGCAACAATAGCCCTCGTTTGTTTTAATTTCAAGCTCAAATAATTTCATTTAACACTTCATTTGGGACGTGAATCAAGTCTACTGGAATAGATGCTTTTAATCCAAGATCTCTGTAATGGCAAAGTGATATATAACAAGGCCTTTTTAACGTGTGTCCATCACACATATATAATATGAAGTGAAAAATTGAATAATTTTATTACAGAACTAAGTTTTTATTATATAAAAAAATTCAAAAGTCTTTTAATGAAAGTTTTGTTAAATAATTTAATGTTTTAACACGAATGTTTATTAACAAGTAACAAAGAGAATTCCAATAATATCGTATGAAAATGAAACCATGGCATTATATTAATTTTTTTTAAACCACAATTACTTTTGAATTTACTTACCCCTTTAAGTTATTCTATTATTATAAAGAGTAGTCTTGAACTCGTTAATAATTGTTAAGTATCCCATATTTTTATGAATATTTACAAATTATAAATACAAATATGAAAATTTCATTTGAAAATATTTAAGAGAAATGAACGTAGTTAATATAAGATTGGTTCAATGATAATTTATAAATGTTTCATGTTGATTAAATGTAGTTAAATCCCATACAGGTATCTCGTGAGATTATTTTAAAGAGTTTTTTTTAATGAAAAAGTTTAGAGATTTTTTTGAACTTTTTATTGAATTTAATTTTTTATTTATCATAATTATTTATAAATTGAATTCTAATATTTTTTAAAGTAAATTATCAATAAATAAAAATAATCTTGTATTATAATATAAATTCAAATTATGTATCATAAAAATAAAATATAATTTATATATTAAAAAATATTTATTTATACAAAATTTAAATATAATTTATATATTTAAACTTTATATTTATTTGTAAATAATAAACACTTATCCTATCCAATATATTGTGCAGGCTAAAATACTAATCGTGTATTAATTAAGGATTGGAAAATCATTTTTAATTAAATAATTGATTATAAATATTAATTTAATTCAGTGTGAAAGTTAAAAAAAAAATGTTAGTTAAAGATAAACATGTAGCCATGGAGTTTGGAGAAAGAAAATATATAACAATTATCTTATTGTAAATATTAAAGACTTTATTTTATTATATACGATTTTTTATCAATAAGGATTACATTAACTACCACAATTACAAAGTTCTACTTTATTTTATTGTGTAAGGTTGTATTCGTCCTGTTATCTTTTATCATTGAGAATTTTAATTTTAAATTATCCGTTACTGATTTTGCAAGCTATCTATTTTAGTTACTTATGGCGCCATTTTCCCCTTACATTAAGGATCAAAGTATATAATTTTTCTATAAAATCTGAGATTATACAAGAACTTAAAAAAGTCGGTAATCAAAGTAATTGCCACTTACATTTTCAACAATTCGAGAGCTTACAATTTTGCTTCTTTTTTTTTTAATAATTATTTTTAAGAAAATGCATATAAATAAATATATGAATATCTTAAAATATCTAATCTTAGGATAAAGCAACCGGTGTGGTCGTTATGGCTGATAATAGCAGAGAACTGAGAGTCTCTGAAACAGTGTGTGTTTCCAAAGTTTTGATCGATGAAGGCTTTGAGTACCATAAACTCCTCAAATCCATGTCTTCCCGAAACCCATTTCCTCAAAGTCCCTATCTTTCACCCCTTCTTCAGGTTCAAGCCATTCTCACACTCATACAACACCCATGGCCATGTCCATGGTGCAAAGAGAGCTCATACTCTTCCATTCGCCATCAACTGCAAGCTTAAAAACTCTCAAGACATAAAAAACAATGGGAAGAGTGTGCCACAGAAGATTGTCTTATCAGAGGTGTCCCCTCCACCACTCACAGAGGATGCTGAGAACAGTGAGGATGTTCCAGAAAGCTCAAAGAAGAAGGGAAGCCCTTTTGGGGTGGTGAGGATGCTGAGAAGGAAGACGTTGCAGATTCTCTCTAATTTGCCGTTGGCTATTGGGGAAATGTTCACAGTTGCTTCTTTGATGGCTTTGGGTATATATATGCTCAACATTTTTTTTTTCTTTACACTCTTTTTATTGGTCTATTTTTTATTTATAATTATATTATTTGTATAAAGTATTTATGGCCTTTTTCGATGATTAACTTTTGTCAAAAAAATTTGATAAGTGAGATTTTCCTCTTAATTACATTTTTTTCATCTATAATATTAGAATAATATGCTACCTTGCTTGAAGGGACGGATTCCAGTTCTACCTTGACTATTGACTGGTTGATTTTTTATTGGTATGAATTAACAGCATGTTTAACTCTTAGTTTTCAAAATTCTATATGGTGGTGGATAGGCCTTTTTTAGTTTCTCAAATATTTAGAAATCTGTATTGTATTTTAGCAGACTTTTTAAAATAAGAAATGAAGTAGAAATAAGGTGATATTTTGTGACTAAACATACAAACAAAATGAAAATAGAAAACTTTTTCTCTGATCAAAAGACTTGGTAAAGGAGTAGTCTTTATGAATTCATCTATGCTTATTATGATGAAACTAATTTCTATAAGTTTTTGATTTTGCATCCTAGTTATTGTTTAGAGGAATGATGTTGATGCAAAAGCTCGTGAAGTTTGTGGGTGATCTTAGTATGGCAAAAGGATGCTATTTTGACTTTCTATATTCTCATTGGAATTTCTGTCCTGCAAATGTGCTTTAATATGATCACAATGACTTAAACCTGGCCTTCTATGCCAGGCACATTTATTGATCAAGGAGAAGCCCCCGAGTTTTATTTCCAGAAATACCCTGAAGATCATCCCGTGTTTGGATTTTTTACTTGGAGATGGGTTCTTGCCCTTGGTTTTGATCACATGTTTTCATCCCCTATATTTCTTGGAGTGTTGGCTCTGCTGGGTGCATCCCTCATGGCTTGCACTTACACAACTCAGCTTCCCCTCATCAAGGTTTCAAGAAGGTTTGTTTGTCACTTTTTTGCATTCATAATGCCTGACTTGATCACTGAAGTACCTAAGTTGTTTCGTAGATGGTCGTTTTTACACTCTGCTGAAGCCATACGTAAGCAGGAATTTTCAGAATCGTTGCCAAGAGCATCAATCCAAGATGTTGGTACTATATTGATGGGAGCTGGATACGAGGTTTTAGTACCCCAACTCATGCTCCAATAATCGTTTCTTTTTCTTTATCTCCTTCAGAATCTAATATTATTGGGACACACATTGGAAATGTTTTGCTATTAACCGCCACCACCAATAACAAAGTCTTATCTCACTGTGTAAGATTAATTACATGAATCACAAGACACCATTGAGCTCGGTTAAAGACTAAATTCTCAAGGATGTTATTATTCACCGTGAGCTCTTTCTTGACAATTTCCTCCAATGTCTTCTTGGCTACATGAATCTCTCTTCATAAGCCTAAAAACCATGCAATCTATTCTTCTCATTGTTGCTTTTAATGACCTTCTTTGTACACATCCAGATCACCTTAGCCAATTTTCTGTCTTGTTTTCTTTGGTCGGCATCACGTGAATATCTCTTTGTAAACAACCATTTCATATCCTATCCTTTTATATATAACCACTCATCTATCTTAGCATTTTCATCTATGTTATTCCCGTACTTTTTTGTTGTCCCTTTAAAGTTCCAACATTCATTATCATCGAGTATAGCTGCACTCTTTTAGTTACCGGCCAACAATGAACTTGAATATCTTTTGTGGTGACAAAGTGTAATTTTGGATGATAGGTATTCTTGAAAGGACCATCCTTATATGCTTTTAAAGGGCTTGCAGGTCGGCTGGCCCCTGTTGGAGTCCATATAGCAATGATACTGATAATGGCTGGAGGAACTCTTAGTGCTACTGGGAGCTTCAGAGGTTCAGTCACTGTGCCACAGGGGCTTAATTTTGTTGTAGGTGATGTTCTGGCTCCTAATGGCTTTCTCTCCTCTCCAACTGAGGCTTTTAATACAGAAATTCATGTCAACAGATTCTACATGGATTATTATGAGAGTGGAGAGGTAAATGTTGATTTTTGTTTTCTATGAAATTGTAATAATAATACTTACAGCTGAATACACACTCATGAAATGAAATTTCAGCCTGAAAATGATCAGTAAAAATATTGATTCTTGGTTACGTTAACAGGTTTCGCAGTTTCACACTGATCTTTCCCTTCTTGACATGGATGGGAAAGAAGTAATGAGGAAAACAATCAGTGTAAATGATCCTTTGAGGTATGGGGGTATCACCATATATCAGACAGATTGGAGTATTTCGGCTCTGCAAATTCTTAAGGACAATGAAGGACCTTATAACTTGGCTATGGCACCTCTACAGATCAATGGAGATAAGAAACTTTTTGGTACTTTTCTACCAGTTGGAGACATTAACTCTCCTGATGTTAAGGGAATGTAAGATTTTTGAAAATTTTGTATGATGACAAAGCACAATCTTCAGCTCATCTCATCCTTTTTGCTTTTTTTCTGTTAAATTTTAGATCTATGCTTGCTCGTGATCTACAGTCAATTGTCCTTTATGATAAGGAAGGGAAATTTGCGGGAGTTAGAAGGCCTAATTCAAAGCTCCCAATCAATATTGATGGCTCAGAAATTGTCATTGTTGATGCAATAGGAAGTAGTGGCTTGGACTTAAAGGTATCACCTTGAATTTACACATTCTGCAGTTTGTTAGTTACTTTAACTGTTATTAACTCGTTGCTTTATTTATACAGACTGACCCTGGTGTGCCACTTGTATATGCTGGATTTGGTGCTCTAATGATCACTACTTGCATCAGCTATTTGTCTCATTCTCAGGTGAAATTTCTGCTAAATATTGTTTGATTTTTACCATTTTTTTCGCCATGTTGCTTACATGATTTTGCTAGGATAATAATATTGCTACATCTTCTGAAAATTCCCCTTCAAAGAAATGTCAATGTTAATGTGGTAAATACGTTGCACATAGCACGTTTTATATGACTGGAAAGAAAATAAATCCATGAAATTTGATGCATGATTGAAGTAGTACTGAAAATTGGCTGTTAATATACACTTTTCATGTAGCTTAGCTGAAACTTTTATTATCCACATTCAATTGTATATTGAACTGTTAATTTTCTTGTTGGTCAACTGAAAGATATGGGCCTTACAAGATGGGACAACAGTCATCGTTGGAGGGAAGAGTAACAGAGGAAAGATGGAGTTTCCAGAGGAGATGAATCTCTTACTTGAGAAGGTCCCTGAAATAGTTGAATCAACTCTTAGTGGTTAGCTTATGGCTTTTGAGACATCAAAATGGGATAGGAAGACTCTTCAATTGGATGATTGTGACTTATATGGATTATAATCCAATTTGGATAAACTTGTCAATCAGGGCTTATAAGAGAAGCAAAAAAAGATAAAATGAATCAAATTATTCCTACAAGTTAAAATCAATTTATGCACTTCAATTTCTTTAGAAACACATTTAATTTCTCTAGATGTTGAGGTGAATAACTTGGTTTTAATTTATGGAAAAAATATGATTTGTTTTTACCTCTATTTCTTCTTCTATAAGTGCTCATTGCAAAATTTTATTCAAACTGAGATAAAGCACATTGGCATACAGATACAAATTGCACTTCATCAATGAGGTGCCCGGAATTTGTCTTGTTGGTTGATCAGCCAAGGATTTTACAGATGCTCGAAGGATGCCATTGGGAAGTAAATCAAGAAAAATTTTTCTGCTCGTATTATATGACATTCTCTAGATACCGAGTTCAATATACGTGTATATTTCCTCTATTTTTTTGGTTATTAATCACAGAGCCAAATTTATCAAATATCTTATGTAGTGTGTTATTTTGACCCTCATTTAAATAATTGGAAAGTGTATGAGGTTGAATTTCAATTTGATACGTCCAAAGGCAAAATGTACATGTTGCTATTGCAACTGCATTTTTAAGATGAACCACTTGCCTTTATAAATTATTGTATTAAGCTATTGTATCTTAGCATATGAGTTTTGTTTAACTCAAATCTAGATAATCAGCTTGCTTGTGTGAGAAATAATACACGGGATGTGTGAATAATATAAAAGACGACCATTTTTTTTAATTAAATTTAGAATAAATCCTAATATAGTCTTAAAATATAAGTTTGAATCTAATTCAATTTTGCATAATCTTGTAAAGTAAATATTATCCTTTGTTGAGTTTTATATTATTTGATTTTTCCTCCATTCCTTCTTAAAAGTCGATTTTTTAGTACAATTTTATTTTTATATGTAGTTTTCATAGTTTAACACTACATTAATCACTATTTTTTTTTGTCAATTATACTTTTATATTACACCTAGCTCTTAATTATTTACACTCACAACAAAAAAGACATAATCAAAAACATTAAAATCATTGTACAGAAAACGAAAAAAAAATTATTGTATTGCTTGATTTATGTATAACAACCTTAAACGTCTATTGAAAAGGATCAGAGGTAGTACTATACTTTATGAAAATATTAGAAATACACTTTTTATCACATTCTTTTTAATTAGTTAAAATTTATTAAAAAAAATAAAAGTCGACAGGTTTTATATTGATTTTTTCTTAATTTGTGATTTTTAATAAATTATAACTAATTTTGTGATTTTTAATAAATTATAACTAATTTTGTGATTTTTAATAAATTATAACTAATTTTGTGATTTTTAATAAATTATAACTAATTTTGTGATTTTCAATAAATTATAACAAATAAAAAAGTGTATTAAGAAGTGTTAGAAATGTGTTGCTACCACTTCTCTTATTTTATTCTCCTTGTTGCCAATTTTTTTTAATGGTAACGTGGAGGTCAACACGTGCTACAAGGTTGGTTTATAAAAACCGCAACTGGCAACATTTATTAGAGCTATTAAACTATTGTTACAGATAAATTTTCCAATAAGTGGGGCTGTAATAGATACTGTGAACTAGTCTCTCGTTTCGTTTATACATTGACAATGTATTTATGCAAACCTACTTTACGCAAGTTGCATCGCTTCTTCCCGTTTCAAGTCAAAAATCTTGATAAGCGCATCTTCAACAACCTGTATGAAATCAATGGTGCGAAAATAGTATTAAACGAACTGATTAGGAAGCAAAAAGTGAAAAGTACAGCGCAGCATTAGAAATTTAAATAGATATGACACAGGCCACTGGCACCAGCTACTTCATAAAAAATAACTATTTGTGTTGAAAATAGCACGTTAGTTTGCAATGAGAGCTGAAACTACATTAAGTAAAAGTCTACAAGAAGCAGAACTATACTGGAGAAATTCACGAAAAATGAAAAAATAAAAAATAAAAAAATCAAAGGCTACAGGCAATGAGGCAAGGCAAGAGAAATTACCTTGTCTGGTGTGGATGCACCAGATGTTACACCGATTGTTATTGGACCTGCTGGCAGCCAATTTTCTTTCTCCACTAGCTCTCCGTGCTGATAGATAAAACAGATATTATAATTAATAGTGAAGGCTAAAAAGAGCTAATAACTGTGACAAGGTATAAAGCTCCTTATCCATGCTTACATTCAACTTGTATGCTATTCTGTTTCCTGGACCAATTCTTTGCTCACTGTCAATCCAATAAGAAGGAATTCCACGTAACTCAGCTATCTCTTGCAGATGTGATGTATTGCTAGAATTCCATCCACCAACTACTAACATAAGATCAATATCTTCCTCCACCAGTTTGAACATAGCATCTTGTCGCTCCTAAAAGAAAATTCAGTTTAGCTGTCGTTTAGACCGAAAGCATACAAACATGACGAATAATTATGTCATGAATATATTATTTGTGCTGCTAATTTATTACCAGCTTGGCTTAACGAGTATTGCAATCGCAATTTAACTAGTCTAAAATAAGCAAGAACACCAAAGACAATGGAGGTGAAACTACCTGAGTAGCATCACAAATTGTGTTGAAGCTTATGAAGTGCTCATTGACGTTCTCCACACCAAATTTCTGCATCATAGTCCTCTCCAGTAGTCTCCCTATGAAATGATCAGAAAAATAAATACCACAAGTACTTATAATTTAGAAATGTGAGTTACAATCCCACCCACACACTCCCAAAACTCCCAAATGAATACAGACCAATCTCTTCTGTCTCTCCCTTGAGCATTGTTGTCTGATTTGCGATGCCAACTTTAACCAGGTCCTTGTCTGGATCAAAGCCCTCAGAAACTGCAAATTTAAATTTCTGCACAAAAATGAATAAATAAATAAATATTCATGACAGTGAAGCCACAGGCTTTATAAAGGAAGATTAACTACATGATAAAAAAAGTCATACCTCTAAAAATGCTTCTTTGGTTGAACTGGATCCATTAAATTCACCACCCAGAATATAGTCACAAACATATTCAGCCTGGATAAAGTCAACAATCATGCAAAAATTACAACAAGTTTCTTCAAGGCAGACACCACACAAAATAAGCATAGCAGCAACTTAGGACAGACCTCTGTCAGATTCTTCACAATTATATACTTTCCAGCAAAAGAAGCAGTTGCTACAGTTTCCTCATGGGCATATTTACCATGAATCACAGAGGTATAATCTCCTTTCTTGTGCTTTTCAACAGTATTCCATACCTTGACACAATTTGTCGAAGAAACAATCTCAGTATTTGGTGATGCATGACAAAATAGTGAAATACATATGCAAATCATCACAAATAGAAGCCATCTATGCAAAAGATTACCTTTGAAACCCATGGGCAAGTTGTATCAACAATCTGAACATTTTTGTCGCTCAAAGTCAACATCTCTTCCACTGCTGCTCCAAAAGCCGGCAATATGACCACATCCCCCTTGTTGACCACATCGAATTGCTTTTCACCTCCATCCAGAGGAATATTTTGCACTTTCATATCCTCCAGCCGCTGCAATAACAACCGATCAACTTCACTAATCAACATTATTTTACACTAAAAGACAAGATGCAAAAGAAAAAGAGCAGCAACCAACCATCATAACTTGAAAGTACCAATTCAAAAACACAAGATAATCGGTGGTAATAGGAAATACGAAGAGACCTTATTAACAGTAGGGTTATGGATGATTTCATTGGTAATCCATATAGTCTCAGAGGGAAACTGTTTTCTGGCCTCATAAGCAATTTGAACAGCCCTCTCAACTCCCCAACAGAATCCATAGGCTTCAGCCAGCTTCACTGTGACAGGACCCCATGTATATTCATACCCGTTCTCCTTCAAAGTCTTAATGATATCACCTGAAATTGCACGCACATAAAATTAACAAGACATGACATGCAATTCAACACACAAGCATATCGTATCTTAACAAAACTCCCAATAAAACTAAGTTAGACCTCAATTTCCATGAAACGGAAGCAAATAATTGAATCAAAAAAACTAATTATCCAAATTCGGAGGAAACATACTCGTGTACTCGCGACTCATGAGCTGGAGGGTTTCCTCTTTGTGTCCAAAGCCTTTGCGGTTATAGTTCTTGCTCCGAGTGAGGTTCTTCCGGAACACCTTAGGATCGAACTCGGAGTCCACGGCCGCGGAAGAGGAGTCCGCGGAGCATTTGACGGAGAACGGTTTCCGGAAGCGGATTCTGGTCTCCGGCAAAGCGACGTCGGCGCGTGTGGCGGGGATACGGCAGAGATGCGCTGAGAGAGCCATCGGAGATAGCATTACAGTGCGTCAACACAACACAACACTCTCTCAATTGCTTCGCTTTTTTTATGGCTGCAAACTCCTGCTTTCAACTTTTTCTTTATTATTTTATTTATTATTCAACGCCGCTTTTTTTTTATTACTATCGGATAAGAATAACAATTTCTCTTACACGCAGTTTTGAAAATTTGTTTACAGAGAAAGAACCATTCAAAATGGCAAAATTATTTATTATTTATTTATTTCCTTTTCTTTTTCTTTTTCTTTTTTCTGGTTAGATGAGCGAATTGGACAGTGGCAGTTTTTGGAGCCTAGTTATGGGGATGGTGTCGCTAAGTTTAGACGGTTCCTGAATGTTATTTACCCGTCACCCACCTTTTCTTTTTATTTTTTTATTATTATTATTATTTGTTTTCTTTCTTATTTTTCATTTACTAATTACTAACTTAACAAATCATATTTGTCATTAATTGATATTGGAAAAACATGATACATAATTATTATGTAAACCCAACTCCCACATCGACTAGAGATTAGACAATTAAATAATATGTAAGTGAAAAACAACCCTCACCATACAAACCAGTTTTGTAGGATTGAGTTAGGCTTAATCCACTATTCATAGTTAATTAGTTATTACCTTCTTCACTTCCGTCAGTTACAGGGTTGGAACGAATTCATACGAGTCTCCGTCAAATCCCAAATTAAAAATAGTTTAATATTTTCTCACAATGAGAGATAAAGTCAAATTTAGACCATTTTTTATTCTTATTGAATCACTGTGTATAACTATTTTTTAATTTTCATCACCGTTTTCAAGGTGGTTTTCATATTCCGTATAACACTATTTCACAGACAAAACACCGTTTATAATTACACTGGTGTAATTTTTATCAAATATAATACTACTCAATAATTTTATATTAAATATGAATTTTATAAATTCAACCATTAAATTGAAAGTTCATATCACTTTATATGAATATATTAAATTTTATTAAAATTGCATAGCAATTTGAAAATGATCAAAGTGTTCATATTTTAGTATATTTTGAAATGAATATATTATGTCAATTTTGTTTTATAAAAATGAAGTATTAAATCATCTTGGATTAATATAAAATTTTGTATATATGATCTAAGTGATATGAACTTTCAATTTAACGGTTAGATTTACAAAATTCACATTTAATATAAAGTTATTGAACGATGTAATACTTAGTAAAAATTACACCAATATAATTATAACCCCTCTTTAACAAATATTGCTTCAAGAATAAGTACCTATGCACTTTATAACTCCATTGTTAAAATTAATGTTGAACTATTAAATATAATCATAGAAAAATAGGTTACACGGTGTAACCGTGTAAAAGTAATTTGGTACTGTTATTTAACTAATCAAAATCATGTTATATATATATATATATATATATATATATATAAAAAAAGAGAGTTAAACAAGAGAAACGATCGCAAGCAGGGAATCGCTATCTCTCTTTACGATTATAATTTGTATATCATATAAAATAAGTATTATTTTATAATTAAAATCAACAATAAATAAATATTTTAATTTATAAATTATATTTTAAAACAATAATAAATAATTTAAATTATGATATACATTTTTAATTATTAATAATTTTCTTTAAATAGAATGTTATTTTCTTTCATTGTCATCCGACATCATTAGTAAATTTTTTATTTTCTTTTGACTGACCTTATATAATTATTTCCTAATTGTTCCAATATATACCTAAAAGTTCGGAATGAAGGTTAAGGATAGTTTATAAATACTTTTTCTCTTAACCTACCGAAACGTTTTTTGAAGGACAAAATCATAATAGTCCAACGAGTTAAAGCGGACAATACCTCAGATGCAATGACTCTAACAAAAATACTAATTTATCACGATTTCCAAGATCGAGAATTTCTTTTTAAGGGGGTGGTTTTGATTTAAGAACCCGTATATCAGGATTTTCTAAACTTTGTTTCTTCAAATTAAATAAGCACTTTATATTTTAAAATTACTTAATATATTGATTTAATAAAATTGTTGTTAAACGATTCAATTATATTAAATAAGTTTAAATATGTTTTACAAAATAAGTAAATTTTGAGTTCGGTTATGATAAATTTTTTTTTTTCTACTTTTAAAATTTATAATTTTTATTTATAATTTTTATTATTTAATAATTATTTTTAACTATTTATTTATTTATTAAAAAGTTAAATAATTACCTTAACTACTACTTACAACTATTACGGATATCATAGTGGTGTATGACCTTTTTAAAAAGTTTCATAAATTTTTAAAATATATATATATATTTTATATTTTTTAAAATTGTTGTTTGAGACTAAAATTAATAATTTTAAATTTTAAAAAAGTGAAAATAAAAAAGA